GAGAGAGAGAGAGAGAGAGAGAGAGAGAGAGAGAGAGAGAGAGAGAGAGTACAATAGGTTGATGACAGAGTATGAAATTCCTCACAGGCAGAGGGCTGAAGGCTACTGTGCATACCAGTGCTTAGTGTGATTTGGGATGCGATCCATTATGTATCATCTTATCTGCGTCCAGCTGGATTTGGACTTCTGCGAACGTTTGCGACGAGATCCGGGATGTGATTTGGTTGTTTGAGGATGCAATTGGGTGGTGGGGGTGGGGGTGGGGGTGGGGGTGGGGTTTGGATGAAGGACACACGGGGTGCACTGAGGCATTCGCAACACCATGTCGCTGGGGACATGACATGATCCCGGTGATGGAGTCACTTCGGGACCTGTACAGACATTCATGCTGTCAGCTTTGAGCAGGGCAAGCAGGGCAAGCAGGGCAAGCAGGGCATGAGCTTGACATATTTTCTTGTTTATGTATAGGTCATGATACCGTCCGCGTGTCGGTGGTTCTTGTGGGAAAATAAAATGCCTCTTTTCGACGAAGGAAAAAGCGGAGTAGAAAGCAGTCGTTCTGGAGAAATTGAGGAGGAGGACGACGAAGAGACAGGAGGCAGGAGTTTAACTTTGTAACTCTATACTTATCGACATCAGATTCTCCACACGCGTGCAGCAACAGCCATAGCTATGAGGAGGAGGAAGACGAAGAGACAGGAAGCAGCTATGGCTGTTGCTGCATGGGTGTGGATATGTCGATAAGGCCGCTGCTATTAGTTGCTACGTTCCCACTGTTGTGGCATGGACAAATTGAGGAGGAAGAAGAAGAGACAGGAGGGTGTTCCCCCTCCTCTTCCCCACCTACACACAACATCCTGTCGTAACCTGCGGTGCAGTGGCGGTAAGAGAAGAACCAACTGGACGAAGGCACCTGGGTGGGATGGCTCCTGTCCATTGGTTGGGAGCTTGACTTGCTCAAAACCGGGTCCTGCGTCCCTTAAAATGAGGCCAGAGTCCTCCCAGTCTACATGTAATGAGGGATGATAACAGATCGCACCGACTAGGATAAACTGATGACACTGAATACCGGGACCTTTACCCGGCTTGGCAGGCTGTTACTTCGTAGCTCTACTTACTTTGTAGGTATACTTACGCATTGCCTGTTATATGCTGGCATGGCTGTTGCTGCATGGCTGGCAAGTTTGATGATAAGGCTGCTCTGCTGCTATGAGTCACTCTACCTTGCTGCTGTTGTGACACACTGCTATCACACACTGCTGCTGTTGTCACACACTGCTATCGCATGCCATGACAGCCATGTTGCTACTGAGATGATACTGCTGCGGCAAATTTGTATGCCATCGATGCTGTGCCGCTATAACTATGATGTTGCTGAACATCGACGCTTTTAGTGTCTGTTGCGATCGCTATAATTGAACTGTGGTCGCCGGTCTTCTCTATGTCCTACAATGTTCTAAGGCTTACCAGCCGCGGGCTCTTTCCTTTCGATCAACTGGCATCTTTGGCCGTGCGATGTAAAACTTAATTTACATCGCAAGGCCAGCATTGGGCTGCGTTGTTGTTCTCGTGCGCTGAGAGTCTGCCACGTTAGCAAGTTCTCGGTTGGGCGATTTTGGAGCGTGCGATGTGAATGTGGTTTGGTAGGCGTGCGATGTGGCTTTTCGTTGTGAAACGTCCGATGTAAAGATTTGCCCCGTGATTTGCGGTTGTCCATCCGATGTGCTTGCCCGTTTTGTCTTCTTCTTTCCTTCTTTTCTTTTTTCTTTTTTTCTTTTTTTTTTCCCCAATGCAATCACACTCGTCTTCTTCCCTATTCCGCCACCTTCTTCCTTGGACCGCACAACACTCTCTCTCTCTCTCTCGCGCGCGCTCTTTTTTTTTTGTTTTTTTTTTTAATAGAAAACGCTCCATCTATTGGTGGGGAGCATCACCTSCTGGAATYTKTTTTWTTYTKWTTTKTGTTTTTTTTTTTTTTTTTTTTTTTTTTGAAGGACGGGGGTTCGAATCCAGGTGGTCATATGGCGAAAACAGGTAAACGGAAGCTGCGAAAGAAGTGAAACAGAAGAAGGTTAAGTGCAAAAGAAACTGTACGAATGCAATCATTAATTCCACCGGCACAGAAACTTGGGAAGAGTAAGGAACTGTTACAAACGTTCTTTCGTTTCTGTTTTCTACTGTTTCGTCTTTGGTTTCTTTCGTTTTTTTTTTCTTTTTAATGAAGGACGGGGGCTCGAATCCAGGCGGACAGAAGCTGCGAAATTCGCTTTTGTACCAAGGCTGCGAAAGTAAAAGAAAAGAAATGGGAATAAAAAAAGTACCTGGAAGGATGTACTCACCGGAATTTGTTCGGGGACGGGGGCGTGGCACAGTGCGCCGCAGGCAATGACAGGGCTCGAACCCACCACCTTCTGAATGACACTTAGGTGCAAAAGAAAGGATATTTTTTGGGGTTCTGAGAACACCACTGTATGAATGCAATCATGATCTCCAACTGCACGGAATCTTTGGAGCGTGATTTGCGGTTGTCTCACGATAATCGAAGGAAATCCATTTCCGTAGAAAAGCCACGAATGTAAACGAAAAACGAAGGGGAAAAAAAAAAGAAGGTAAATGGTGCATGCGTCTCAACCGCCTGCAAATCCGGGAGTCGAGACAGGTCACCAGACAATTCGGGATTTGTACACCTTCACCGGAACTTTGTAAGAGTACTGTTAGAAACGTGAAAATCCGTCTTCGTACAAAAGCCACGAATGTAGAAGCAAAGCGAAGGGAAAAAAAAAAAAAGGTAAATGGAGCCTGCGTCTCAACCGCCTGCAAATCCGGGAGTCGAGACAGAGCGCCGCAGGGGGTCATGGGGCTCGAACCCACCACCTCCTGAATGGCACTTGCGTGCACAAAAAAGGGAAAAAACAAAATGGCCATTGCGATCCTTGGTGTCAGATTGAATGAGAACAACACTGTATGAACGCAATCATGATCTCCGCTTCGTCTCGCATGGTGCCTTGGGATTTCTACACCTTCACGGAAAATTTGGAAGAGTAAGCAATCCGAGTACTGTTAGAAGCGTGAAAGGCATCTCATTTAGGTGGTTGGCACTAAGTGCACCGCAGGCCGTCGTGGGGCTCGAACAGACAACGTCCTGAATGCCACTTACGTGTCTAACCAACTGTGATGGCTTTGACCCACGAAATTGAAAGAAAACAAAAGAAAGAATTAAAATATAACAAAAACGAAATAGCCATTGAAGAAAAACAAAATGAAAGCCGCAAAACTGAAAGAAAAGATAAGAGAGAGAGAGAGAGAGAGAGAGAGAGAGAGAGAGAGAGAGAGAGAGAGAGAGAGAGAGAGAGAGAGAGAGAGAGAGAGATCTAAGATAGGGTGATCCAAGGCCAAGAAGAGGAGAAAACATGGAGTCCAAGTGCGCAAAGCAAGCATCCGCGTGACCACACTTGATCCGAATACATACATTAAAAGCTCATGCACTTGTTAAGAACTCCATAACAACACTCCTGTCTTTAGTACGCTGTGCCCCGACGCATTTCGCTGTCGGCGTACGTTCGACAGTCTCATTAGGGGGCTCGACCAGATGGATAGCTTCGACATGCAGCTTTGAGATGGTAGATCGCGCTACCACCTTTGCTTAAATAACTATCTCAATGGGCACATCTACTACAATCTGCGAAGTTTCTACTCTAAAACCCAACTCTATCCTACACCCGATACTACACGTCCTCCTTTGCCACTCACCTTGTGCTGGCTTTCCACAGAACCTCGTTCCCGCGCCCTCATCTGTCCTTCATGCCGTCCCGAGTCATCTGATACTGCGCATCCCCTTACCGGGATCTCCTGACCGCCTTCGCAACACCTTTGTTGCATACTTCCCTCCCTTCCTGAATCGCCTATTGTCTTTCCCCCCTATCTCACCTTTCTCTTCCCCTTCTGCCATCACTTTTCGTCGTCTTACTAAGTCTGTTGAGCCGTGATTTTCGCCTGACCCGTTACGCTCGTATTCTCTTGTCTCTTCCTCCCCATTTTCTTTTTTTGCCAATCCTCACTGCTACTCCGTTTTCCTTGTGTATACCCACCTTGTAGATGTTCCGTAAGTATCGCCGACGGATGTCTCACCATATCTCGCTCTCCTCCATCTTAGCGCCATCCGCCCCAGGCCCTTCCTTCTTTACTAATTTTGCTCCTTTTTTCCGCTCGTACTGACAGGCTTTGGAACACCCGTCGATCGCCCCGGTACTATTCCGGCTTTGCTACTCCTACTGCATTGATGAACCTTCCCCTTTTCCATACCTGATTCACGCGGCGATTCCCTTGCTAAATATACCATACATTATCCGAAAGATACTTCACAGGGCCGAAAGTGAGGCCAGAAACAGGCAAAAAAATGAAAAAAACGAAACCAAATGAAACTAAAACCAAAAACAAGACCGAAAAAATGAAAACAAACGGACCCAACCGAACGAGTTTTCCAAAAAAGCAAAAATCCATATGCACCCGACCCCAAAATTGACGATAGTACATTAGCGTTCCAACTACCCAGCATCTAATTAGTGTATACTGGCCCATTTCGCCTATCCGGACATTCAAGTCAGAGGACCCATACTCTTTCCATTCCGGGGTACAACATGGAGAGCGTAGCTCCCCAGTGACTCCCGGACAGTTTGGCAAACCGGGCCAAAGCACCAAGAGAGACCTTTGAGGGATACCCCCGGAGGTTTGCTACCATTACAACTGTAGATATGGTTGCCACTGTTGCCTCATCTGACGTGGACATTTTGTATGCCCTCAGCATGCTTGCCAAAAGTGTTGCTCTTTTTGTCAATTTTTTGGAAAATGAGTGGAAGTCCTGCATCGAGTGCACCTTCAACTGCCCGGTCTCTGCCAACGACATCTGATTTCTCGTCCTTGGAAACACATGGATGGCAATTGGTGCAATGTCGACAAAAATCCTCGTCCCCAAGAATTCCATCGAGTTACTCTCGTTGTCCTTCCTTACCAAATTCAAACTCTCATCATAGCATTCCTCGAACCTACTCAGAATCCGATCCGCCTTCCGTGTAGATTCCTCTTCCTCGTCTTCCAATCCTTCTATAATAGCAGCGTCATCAATCATTCTCATGCCTTTCACCAACCTTCTGTCTGCCCCTAGTGAGTCCAAGAAAGCTGCTTCAGATCTCGCACATACAAGGCACGCAAGTGCTGGGCTGGAATTTCGCCCCATAGGTATCCCAAATACCTGCTTCAGGATTTCGCTCGCACAGATAGTGAATGCATTGTTGAGTTCGAACTTCACTGCCTTCTTGATCTGTTCAAACTTCATCAATATGAAACCCTCACTCCCTCTCGGATTCTGTGCCATCATACATAACTTACCTCTCCGACTTACCCTTACTCCCACCAGATTTTTTCGGCGATGGTGATCGATCACCCAGCTGATTGCTTTCATAATGCTTCCATGCGACAGCTTCACGAACATGTCCTTCACATCGTAACTCCGTGCCCACACACTCACACACTTCTCCTCTAAACTATTCTGAATCTCCAAGCATTTACATTTCAGGACATCCGTGGAGCGAAGATCAAAGTGCAGCTCATCCCCAACGGCGAACATCATGTACCTTGTTGCTCTCCCCAGTCTCGCACTAGCTAGCCTCGCCGGATCGCTGGATGTGGGTGAGATCGGTCTCCACCTTTCGATATCCTTGTCTTTTGGCAAAATGTACGCTCTTCCAATCCTACTGATCTTTCCCCAGGCCGCTATATTGCCAAGCCCTTCTCGCCTATACCTCTCCTTCATCTCACAGATAATCTGCTCTTCCGTCTCTAAAACCGGAACGAAGCTAGCGTTCCAGTTAAAAGTCATCCTGCACGCGTGGAGATAGAGAACAGGGCATACTACCAGGGTTCCCCCAGGGTTTCGATCAATAGGAACCGCCACTAATCCTGAAATCATCTTCGCCCACTCCCTCACCTGCTGTCCTCCCATCACCTTGATCTCTCCCTGTGCCCGCTCTGTTTAACATGCCATCAAGATTGCATCTTGAATACCCACCATCTTGCCCTTAGCCCATGGTTCCACTGCCTGTGTAATGCCATCCTTGAGCCTCCGTACTGATACTTCTTCTCCGTACGTGACATTCCGTGAGTTTTTCACAAATCTCGGAGCATCCGGTAAGTCATTCATCCTCACCTTGATGTGTCCCCGTGATCTAGGCCACGACAGACCTTGGCATGTGCAAACTACCTCCGCAGCTGCAGAACATACACGTTGGTTGTGCAGAATCTGTCCCACCGTCGAACTCTTCTTGAAGACCACGCGCATCCTCTGTGACAGGTACATCCATATCGTCTGGTCACGGACAACTTGCTTTAATGCTTTTACTGCTGCTACCTCTCTCACTTTACCTGTGTCAACCTTCACCGAAAAGGGCAACTTCACGATGGGGCGTCTTCTAACCTCTGTTCCAAACAGCCTTCTTATCACCTTCATTATTCTCACCTTCAATACGCACCTTGAAGCTTTTCTGCTAAAGGTAGACGTAGTCTTGTACAGTGATAGTAGTTCCTGCGCATTCTTTCTGTACAATTCCTTGATTCTCCATGGTTTCCTCAAAATACCCTTCAAAATATTTCTTCGGTGTTCAGCCCCTCCAGTCGTCACTCTTACTCTGACGACGTCAAACTTTCCTCCCTTCTCCAATTCCTTCTTACAGTTTTTTACGAGATGTCTTCTTCCGGCTATCATAATGACACTCTCCCCTATTTTTGCCTTAACGTTCCGCCATTTATCTGTCAATATTTCTCCTCCGGTTGATTCTACGTTCTGTGGTTGTTCCTTGAACAGATCAATCAGTGATGCTTTCCCGTTAAATGTGATCATCATCCCTTAATTCATGTACTCCCCCCGTTTTCCCCTTTCTCTTCTTCCCTTCCTCTTCCTCACCCCCTTTCGTTTCTCCGCTCTCCCATGGATGTTCAGAGCCGGTGAGAATCTAGCTATGAGTGTTCTCTCAATAACTTCTGGTTCTTTGCTGTCTGTCACTAGTGGTAGGATTAAATATCTCTCCCATACATACACTCTCAACCACTGGTGCAGTTTCAGCGATACACCTATATTCCTATTAACGACAAACCTCACATGCTCCGTCCACCCAATCAGAAAGTTCCGGGTAGTACACCCGATGTAGAAATGCCTACATGATGGGCTTACTAACGCGTACACTCCGGCGCCGCATGTCGTCATGCCACCTCTCCCTTCTCCTATCACCCCCACCCATTTCTTCGCCCACGGGCAGCATCCGTGAATCATTGCTAGTACGAACGGTCTGGTGATCCGATCTTCCCGCTCAATAATCCAATATCACCATATCACCTCGCCCACCCCTTATCCCGTCGGCCATTCGTACGCGCAGTTCTTCGAGATACTCCATACCTACGCCCACTATTTCCCTGGGATAGACGCATTTTCACTCACTTCTCTTCCCTCCTCGTAAATAAGTCTCGTTCTACATCTTACGAGCTCTGTAACCACCTTTTCTTTCTTTGTCCATTCTATCCCCTCTTCGCTGCAAATCTTTTTTAGTTCAGGCGCTTTCACCGCGGACAATCTCTGATGCATATCCAAGGCGAATTCAAGAATCTCTCCTTCTCTGCCCGTTCCCCTTCCTTCCTTCCTCCTAGCTGGCGGAATTCGATCCTCATCAGACAACTCGTCGACATCTATCGGTGCAACTCTAGGTGCCCGTACTCTTACCGCTGATAACCTTCCTTCCCCTTCCCCAGCCCTCCGTTTTCCTCGTTTCTTCTCTATGGCGTCTACCAATCTTCCTACTTCCTCCCTGACTTCATCGTTATCTTCTGATTCATCGAAGTAGCTGCACATTTCCCTGAGCATCCTCGCCTTCGTTCTCGGGGATTTCTTCTTAACCATTGGAGACGTTGAAATTCCTGATTTGTTGTGCTGGTTCATCAACCTCATCAGTCTAGCTTCCAATCTGGCTTCTCTCGCTTCCGCTTCCCTTAACCTGTCCGCTCTCCTCCTCCTTTTTCCTTCTCTCTTCCCCCATCTTGTGTTTCTGTATCTTTTTCCTGAAATATGCCCTCATCTCACTTGTTTCCTCATTTATAGGTGGCTGGGTTGCTTGCACCGGCTGGATCTGCTGCGGCGCTCGTCCATTTCCTGCTGCCCAGCAGTTTCTGGCATAGTGTCCCTGTTTCCCACAGATACAGCACACAACTGTTCCCTGCTGAATACCTCCGGAGATCGTATGCTGAGCGGCTCCTCCCGGAAAAACATTCTGGGGTAATCCCATATGCTGCTGTCCTGCCATCTTACCTTCTTCTTCTAACTTGTCTTCTTCTTCTTCCCTTCTGATTCCTAACTAGGCAACCCAGGCTATGTAGCCTTCCTAAGATTCTCTCAAAAATATCTATAGCTTCCTCCTTCGTCTCTTCGTCCCCAAAGTGTAGAGCAACGAAAAATACGGGCACCAAGCTTTCTTCAAGTAATTTATGAAATTCCAAAAACTGCCTCTCGAACTCTAATTCCCTAAAATTCCTAGTACTCATCCTACTACATCCTTCGCAGAATACCCAAGCTAATCCAGATGTAGATGCAAATCTCCCACCCTGGTTCCCTAACTCTCTCTTTCACTCCTTGGATCACAATAATGCTCCCTACTAGAAATACAAGGACGTATCCGACATTTACCAACTTCTTAAGCACGACCCACGACATTCGCTACGCACAAACGTTCACGCTGACGTTTACGAATCTTCTGATCACCCGTCGTCTTGCTCGCTTTTCCGTGCACACAACCCATCGCTTAGTGATACGTGCCCTTCGTAACTTGATGACGTGCATCCACGTCACTCACTTACGATAGCATTACTGGTCATTCCACATATCTCTTGATGTAGAATGCCTTTCGGACACTGCTCCGACATCCTACTCTCGTGGTCCTCCGCAAAAAACCTTCAACACACACGTAGCCACCGATCCGGTATCCAATACGACGGTTATCACGCAGATAGAGATCTAAGATTGGATGATCCAAGGCCAAGAAGAGGAGAAAACATGGAGTCCAAGTGTGCAAAGCAAGCATCCACGTGACCACACTTGATCCGAATACATACATCAAAAGCTCATGCACTTGTTAAGAACTCCATAACAACACTCTTCTCTTTAGTACGCTGTGCCCCGACGCGTTTCGCTGTCGGCGTACGGTCGACAGTCTCATCAGGGGGTTCGACCAGATGGATAGCTTCGGCATGCAGCTCTGAGATGGTAGATCGCGCCACCACCTTTGCTTAAATAGCTATCTCAGCGGGCACATCTACTATAATCTGCGAAGTTTCTACTCTAAAACCCAACTCTATCCTACACCCGATACTACACGTCCTCCTTTGCCACTCACCTCGTGCTGGCTTTCCAGAGAACCTCGTTCCCGCGCCCTCATCTGTCCTTCATGCCGTCCCGAGTCATCTGATACTGTGCATCCCCTTACCGGGATCTCCTGACCGCCTTCGCAACACCTTTGTTACATACTTCCCTCCCTTCCTGAATCGCCTATTGTCTCTACCCCTCCCATCTCACCTTTCTCTTCCCCTTCTGCCATCACTTTTCGTCGCCGATCTTACTCAGTCTGTTGGTCCGTGATTTTTGCCTGACCTGTTACGCTCGTATTCTCTTGTCTCTTCCTCCCCACTTTCTTTTTTTGCCAATCCTCGCCGCTACTCCGTTTTCCTTGCTATGTTTACCCACCTCGTAGATGTTCCGTAAGTATCGCCGACGAATGTCTCACCATATCTCGCTCACCTCCATCTTAGCGCCATCCGCCCCCTTCCTTCTTTACTAATTCTATTCCTTCTATTCGCTCGTACTGACAGGCTTTGGAACACCCGTCGATCGCTCCGGTACTATTCCGGCTTTGCTACTCCTACTGCATCGATGAACCTTCCCCTTTTCTATACCTGATTCACGCGTCGATTTCCCTTGCTAAATATACCATACATTATCCGAAAGATACTTCACAGTGCCAAAAGTGAGGCCAGAAACAGGCAAAAAACGAAAAAACCGAAACGAAAAATGAAACTAAAACAAAAAACAAGACTGAAAAAACAAAAACAAACGGACCCAACCGAACGAGTTTTCCAAAAAAGCAAAAATCCATATGCACCCGACTCCAAAATTGACGATAGTACATCAGCGTTCCAACTACCCAGCATCTAATTAGTGTACACTGGTCCATTTCGCCTATCCAGACATTCAAGTCAGAGGACCCATACTCTTTCCATTCCGGGGTACAACCTGGAGAGCGTAGCTCCCCCGTGACTCCCGGACACCTTGGCAAACCGTGCCAGAGCACAGAGAGAGAGAGAGAGAGAGAGAGAGAGAGAGAGAGAGAGAGAGAGAGAGAGAGAGAACATGGTTGGTCCCTCATGCTACCAGCTGTCCCCTCGC